AGCTTTATAACAGGCTGAGGCTGCAGTCCTCAGGCTGTTTACTTTGGGGGCGCCGGTCCTGTCAGCGGTCACTGATCTGGAGGAGCGTGGGGGTGCAGAGTAGGTAGCGATTATTAAGGCTCACGCTCAGACAGGGGCCCCTCAGCTACACTGTGTACCGCATCTGCGTGGCATGAGAGCTGCAGTGCGAAACTTGCCAAGACTGGAAAAGCCCCTCAGGGCTGTGGCACAATAAAAAAATTGTTGCTTGATAAAGTGAGCATTAGATGCTAAATTAAAAAAAAAAAAAAAGTATCTGCTCTATTTCAAACGAGACACTTTGGTTTGTATTTTTAGAAAGGTTGAGATCACCAAGCGCAGTTTCATTTCTGAGTTGCATAATGTAGCTAATAATGAATCAGGGAGACATTCTATATGTCAGACGTCGGGTTTGTGTATGACAGCGGAGCTCAGGGCACAGGTAGGATTACAGGTGACATAAAGTTCAGATGATGTGCCGCAGAACCTCAAATCAAAGTGGGTCAGTCAGACCATGGTGAAGGCCCAAGCTTGCTGGGTTCAGGGGCGTATCCAGAGGTGTGGCCACAGACCCCAGGTGAAAGCTGATTGGCCCCCTTGACTGTCACTCACAGATTCATAACATACCATTGGCTAATGATAAGGTTGGCCCCTGTGCATGAATTATGGCCTCCCCTAAAAATCAACCCTGTTGGGGTTTGATTAGGTTGATTACTGTGACCACAGAGGCCTGGTGTGACCCCCATGTCACCCTCCCAGGTCCCTGCGCAGCCTGTCCCGTCACTCCGTGGAAGTGGAGTTCCCTCACCTGTACGCCCACGGCTGCAGCCTGCGTGATGTCTGCTCCGACTGCACCAAATTCGTGGCGGACGTCATCTCATCAAGCCGCCGCAGCCTGGACATCCTGAACAACACACCCAAAAGGGAGAGGGCTGTGCCACTGCAGCGCCCCCTCTCGCACCCGCAAGGCACTACAAGGTGTTGCAAGTGAAGGGAAGACTGACTGGTCCGTCACTTCCTGCCCCCTTGCCGGCATCCCAGCCTCGGTTTGCGCCCCCTCCTGCCTGACTGCTGCAACCACACCTGTGCCGTGCCTGTTTGCACCTGAATAGACTACTGCCCCCCGCCCTCACTCCTACCCCCATTCTTTTTTCACATCTAAGGGTGAGGAGTGTGCAGGGTGGAGATGCCAGGGGCCTTTGGTCATGTCGTGGACACGCTCTTCTTAGAACAGAATCTCTGTGTGTTCCTGTCCGCTGGCGGTATGGTGGGCGTGGCCTGGATGGAAGGCTAGCGGTATGGCTGCCATGGCGACCGGCGGTATCTGTTCGTTATACATCCTTTAGGCTAGAGATTAATAGGTTGTCAGGGCACAAATGTACGAATGCTTCAGTGGCTACTGGTTTTGTTTATAATTTGAATTGAAATCTTTATATTTCCTTTTAAAGAATGACTTAAATGTATATGTTTGTGCTAAACACATAATGTTATACGATATCAACATAGCATAAAAAAAGAGCATCTCAGTAAACCTCTGAAAGCATTTTTATATTTCAATAGCTCTAACTTCCCCTGCAGATTTTCTGTCGTCATGTTAGAAAGAGCTCAGTTGACATTGTGCAGCTGTTTGGTATCTTGAAAACGCTGGGAAACCTCCCTCCGCGTCCCTCCGCCGAGCGCAGACCGCAGACTAGACAAGGGGGACGACGGAGACAGAGAATACAGAGGCCCAGAGTCTCTTCACACTGAATTTTCTCTGCGCGCTTGCATCGCTTTCACGCCGAATGTAGCTTTTTTTTTTGAACTGACAAGAAAAGAAGGGTGAATTCCTTCACTCGCACGACGCCCCACTGTCCCGGCGCTTATGTGCAGGCAAACCATAATTCGCCGCTGCCATGGAAACCACAGGGGACTACAACAAACAGGAAGTGGGGACTGGAGTCAGCTTGTGGGTTGCACAGGGCATGAAGACTGGCTCTGTGACACGCTGAAAGTGACAAAGGCAGAGCACCCTGCTGTCACAGACCCATAATCAGCACCCTGGTCTGTGCCTGAATGCAGGGCCGGGCGCTGTTCATGGTGGGGGGGCCACTTGCCATTGCCTCTCCTCCCCATCCTAAATCTGGTGGGCTCATGTCATTATTATCAGCCAATAAACCTCGACTGCAGTAAAAAAAAAAAAAAAAACTGCATGTGGTGAGCTTTGTGGCCTTGCTGGGACCTGCTGCCCCAGATCAGATGCATGCAACCGGCAAACTGAAGATGTGACGCGTCCAGGAAGAACATGCTCCCGTCCACACAAGGCGAGGGTCTGTGTCAGACAAGATGGCTTCAAGGGCAGCAAGCTTCCTTGCATTTTGTATTTTTGATCAGGTCTGCTACACAGGCTCCTATAACGTATGCTGCTTTGTCCAGCTATTATAGTTCAAAATATACAGCTGTTAATACTGGACCTGGAGAAGCATGTAACTTAACAGCAGAATGAATAGTCATAAAAAGGCTCAGAAATATTCGTTAACTCAATACAGGGATGGCCTATTGACCCACTTAGAGAAACTTTTAAGTAAAGCCGGATATTCCGAAATAGCAGAAACCATGTAAATAACATCATGTTTCAATACACCATTTTCTGAGTCACATCGTTTCATAATACCAGTGGCTGCGTGACAATTCTTATATACCAGTTACTCTAAGTATTGAACCCCCCAATAATAATAATAAATAAAACAAGTAAACAAACAAACATGTTTTTAGCCCCCCCATAATTATGCATTTAAGTGATGAATAGTTTGCCATCGCTATGCCTAGTACAGACTCAGACCCCCTATCCATTCGTCTCTAACTACGCCCCTGGAATTTATGTAGGAATACTTCACCAAAATGACGCCGAATGAACGTAAAATTACCGATAACAGGTTTGGAATAAAGTCCGTAAGGCGGCAGCCGCAGAGCCCACGCCGGCGGAAGGAGCGCGCCTCGTCCACGCGCGTCTGACTCGCTCCGCCTCCCACTGGCGACGCCGCTGATCCCGCCTCTGCGTCCCGGCTTCTCTTTTACTTTCAGCCGTCGGCGGATCGCTCTGGCCGCGCTTCATGAATATATAAAGCGGCCCGGAGCGGAGGTTTTTTCTGAGGGGTGGGGTTTGCTCCTTCTTTAGGAAGGTTCCGCTTCTCGTCTTTCTCGTAAAGTGGTCGGTGCGGAATTCGGCTCCCGGGTGGGTGTGTCGGAGCGGGTCGCGGCGCTTCTGCTCACCTCGGGACGGGGCGGGAGGGGGAGGAAGAGCGGAAAAGTTCAATATGAATTTAGTGTGAAGCCCGAACCAGAGTTACTAGCATGGCCATCTGGACCCGAGCGGACAAAAATGGACAGCTGGACCTCCTGTTTCGGGACCGCTGGATCCGTGTTTCAGCCGAGCTGACCCAAGAGACTTTAACTCTTACGGCCGAGGCGGAGATAACTGGACCCGGGAATGGCGCCGATCACGCGTCGCCGGGCCTGCGGAGCTCGGTGTCCAACGGAAACCAGTCAGGAGCATCACCGGATAACCCGAACCGCAGCCGGACACAGAGCCACGGCGTGCCGCGACGGAGCAGCAGCCCGGTGCGCGGGGGTATGGGCAGGGGTCAGCCCGAAGGCAGCCACGGCTTCGCCAGTCCCGGTTCGGCCAGGTCGGCCAACGACAACGGGACTAATTCTGATTTTGGAAGCCCGGGATCCAGCTATGGTAGCCCTGGATCCAGCGTAAGTTCTAAGCACGGTGATCCCGCCGCCAACTTCGACAACAACCCGTCGGAGGGAGTGCGGAAAGTTCGGGTTATCAAGCAGGAGTCGGGGGGACTGGGTATCAGCATCAAAGGGGGCAGGGAGAACCGAATGCCCATCCTGATCTCCAAGATCTTCCCGGGACTCGCAGCGGACCAGAGCCAGGCTCTCCGTGTGGGCGACGCGATCCTGTCAGTCAACGGGATAGACCTCCGCGACGCCACGCACGACTCAGCGGTGCAGGCGCTTAAGAAGGCCGGCAAAGAGGTGACGCTGGAAGGTAAGCGGCGCAACGCGACCGCCGGGGACTCCCGCAGGCCGGGTGCGCAGGGGAGCCGGGGGCCGCCTGCACTCCAACTCAAACAACCGCTAAACTGACAATCAGAACGATCGGATATTATACGTTTTAAAAAACACATCTCAGATCATTCGGGGATATGAGAAGTACAGTAACTCAATAAAAGCCCATGAACATTAAATGTAACGGAAGAAATGCCCTGGCGCATTAGTTATTTGCGCTGACATTTGGCGAGGTATTGTGAGGGATGCGCTGAGGGGGTGGGGGAATTTAGTTTGCTCTCTCTGGAAAGTTGCTTCTATAATTGTAGCGAGTTTCCTTACAGTGTTACCGTGATCTGTGTCTGTATATGGAAATGCGGTATTTACTGAGGAGGCACAGGTAACGGGGAGGGAGAGCGCGGCTCTTACAAAAACAGCACGCGGGGACACGGCTTATTGTTGATACTATTATTTATTATCACTACTACTACTACTACATGTTGTTGTATTTTTAAAGCCAATTATAATAACAATAGCAATGCCTTTTAAAATACAATAACATGTAGTAGTAATAATAATAATGATAATATCAGGACATTGCTTGATGAGGGGTGCTATCAGGCATTGCAATCAAGTTCATCAGCCCCAAGAAAACAGGCAACAGACCATTGTACCGGCACTCAAACCACCTATCTCTGTGGGGCCCTGAAAATCGGGGGGCCCCCATTATGCCAAAAACAGTCACTGCACTGGAGGGGCCTCAGAAATAACAAACCTGCCCTTGTCTATGTGGCATGGCAGAGAGCAAACTGTGTCCTGATTGCTCCCATTGGCTGAACATTATGTACATGCGTTTTATTACCGCTCTGTCTTTCGATGACATCCATCCATCTTTCTGTGGCTTCTGCTGGACGCGTTCCCTGAGGAAGGGAACGGGAACTGAAACACAGGGCACTATGCAGCGGTATACCATGGACAGAAGTGCAGTGCGCCAGAGATACTCGATACATTTAACTTAATAATAATTCCCAATTACCCACTGCCGTTTAGTTGTACTCTCAGTAATGTTTGACTGACCTTGTTGTGCAGTGCCTGACACTGTCATTCTGGCGGCTGTTAAACTGCCCTCTTGACAGTTTGACAGCCATTTTCGTTTCGCTGTGGGGCTAATTTAAGCATGTTTCTTGGATGTAAGTGACCCTGATTTAAAAAAGGTCCGTGGCGTGTTTCACAATGGGGCTCAAATCGCTGCCTCGGGGGGATGTAACCCGGTCAATGAGCAACTAATTCAGGTGACTGCAGCTCACTACTTTCCATCCGAGACCCTCCACCTCCTAATCACCCTTTTTCCCTGTGCAGTTCAAGCGTGTTTTGCACCAAGCAGTCCAATAAAGTACAAAGTAGGCAATTGCGATGCACTACAACAACGAAGAATTCTTTTTTCGTGAAGTTTGGACTAAAGCTCCAGCAAAGTAAATATACGTAGTAGTATGATGTAAAATGGGGCATGTTACTATTATCCATATAATGTTTCAACATGATATTGTATTAATGATTGTAAGTAAAAGACCAGGGCATCTGGTTAATTTCATGTGTCAGAATGGAGGAGGAGTGAGTGTAGGACTGTGCTTCCCACTGGAGGAATGGCAGGATACAAGTGAACAGGCTTCCCTGGGGGAGAATGACGGGCGTATGGTTGGGGTCGCGCCCCCTTCATTCGCATTGTTCTTGTGTGCCGGCACATGTAGGTAAAGGGCAGTAATGAGACCTTGGCATTTCCTTTGTTTATCAGGTGTGTTTATCCAAAGTAACATACATGTTTTAGGAAATACGGAGGAATTGGGGTTAAGGGTCTTTCTCAAGGGCCCAACGGGGACATCACTCTGCCGACTCTGGGATTTGAACCGACGACCTTCTGATCACAGGCACACTATCCACAATGGCCACCCCACTCGAATCACACAAGCCATCAGTCATCCATGTGAATGGGAAGCGTTTCAGTGATACTTGCACTCCATTCAGAACAGAGCCTCCATCTATCAATTCATTCCCTTCCACTTGATTCATCGACAATGTTTCATGAATCAGGCAGCAGAATATTGCAGAGCTGGGTTTCCTAACTCCTGTGCAAGAGTGACTTGGCATATTGTCAGATTTTTTAGCAGTAGGCTACTTTCATGTTGGAAAAATCTACCTGGACCAATAGACCATGTTCCTGTCTTCTGGAGGATCTCACGTGCCTGGGGGGGGGGGGGGGGAAATCCATCTCTTTCCTAATGCAGCTTGGGATCTGCTGATGTATGAGCGGAACACATGAGCACCAGGGGCTATAAGTTGCATACCCCTACAATCCTCCCACACACACGTATAAATACACATCGATGGAAGTCTTATGCATGTGCTATTACATCTCTGCTGAATATGGCTTCCTTAGAGGCCGGTGACAGTTTGTAACCTCAGTTTTTCACCCCGGAAGACGTCGTCTGTTGCATTGTCCTGTATAAAGGTCAGACTACTTTGTATATGCTTTGAAACAATATGTAGAAAAGAAAATTGCATTAAGAGAAATCTGTGTGACGTGGTAAAACAGCATTTTTTCTTATGACGTGCATTTATTTCAGACTCATGGTTCCTTATCTGCTATCGCTACCCACCTCATTTCCGTCCCAGGGTGTGGGAACTGTTCTGTGTGGGCACCGTGGATAAATGTGCTATAGTAGGAAGTGAATGTGTGCTGCTTTTTCTTGAACCTTCCAACTTCCATGTTGAGGTCCTGTCTTTAATTTTTCATAGTAACTACGACTTCATGTTTCCTTAGTTACCAAAAAAGTCCTCTACTGACCTGTGCTACATCGCAGGACCTGTACTTCAAAAAGGTGCCTTTATTTTGTTTACACTTTCAGTTTAATTTTTATGTTCATTTTTTTTTAACTAATTTATGGCTGGATTGACTGAGACTGACTTGTGCATTTGTGGATGAGTCAACTATGCATTAACTGCGAAGACTCTTTAAGGAATGAGATTTCATCAGTTTAAATGTAAGTTGATGTGTTTGGATTTGCCAAACATAGTGACTCTTGTTTTTTGGATGAGAGCAAACAATGCAGGCATCCACAGAGCTCTGGAGAATTAGTATATTCCAAGTTGCATGGCATATTTACCGCCGACTGGAGTTGTAATCCAGCTGAAAGTAACGACTCGTGTTAAATTGTGTTCGCCGCAGTTGTATGCAAAGAAACATCTTGGTTCGATTTTCTTTTGTTTTTTAAGTTAATGGCTTTAATTATTCCTGTGTCATGCGACCCCCATACCACTTCAGAGTGGTGTTTGTGATATAACATATTTCTAAATTGAGTAAAGCACGAAATCATTTAGTTTCTCTTTATTTGGACAGGCAGAGTGTAAACAATGGTGGCTTAATAGATGTTTGGAAGTTCTACTGAGGGAAATAGCGTTTGTTAGGGAAGGCCAAGAACTTTTTATGACACTTTGTGTTGCTTCCCCAGAAAATTCCTCACTTAAATGCCACAGAAAGTCAATGTTAGCGTTGGCCGTCAGCATATTGGTTGAATAAGTACCAAGTCCCTGTAACGTTCACCCCAGTTTGACTTTTCTCTGGCATCAGCCCCAACGCAATAGGCCTGCTTTGGCAAGGTCTCTTGACGCTTGTAAGGCATGGGCTGGGGTTCGAGCCCTATCATGCTGGGGTTAGGGCTTGGCTGTGGGTTATTGCTGTGGAAACTGGGAGCTGGCAGCGTGATGGATGGGTGGAGGTATGAATACTTCAAATATCATGACAGAAATTTAATGTGTAAAGTAGCACGATATACTAGACATTTAATATACCTTAACAATAAAAGATATTGAACAACATAGTATTAGATGTCAGGGAAAGTATTGTGTGGAATTCTGTTAAAATGTCATCTGCTTTACTTTTAACATAGTTTGTATCCTTAATGTTTTCACTCCAAGAATTTTACTGCCCCCCCCACTGATAACAGGCACACAGACACCCAGACACCCCAGAGAAGCAGTGATGCTGATGCACCTCTGGCTGCGAAGATCTTCTGTCTTGTGATTTTGCAGTCTCTCCCTCGCTCTCTCCTCTCACTCTCCGTCGGGCCCCAGACCATCAGAGATACAGACGCCAGTGATTAAGCACGTCGCGTGTAACGTCGGCCGCATGTGTGAGCCTGACACAGTACTGGCCTCTGCCTTCTCCGGTGATGGGGGTTGGGGTGGAGGGCAGCCGCAGGCCGTCGGACCCCGAGGATGCATCCGAATGCGTTCGCTGGCCCCCCCCCTCCAGATCTGGAGGGGCCCCTGGAGTAACCGGCCCCACACACTGTTCTCATTAAGGCCTGGCTGGGGTCCTGTGAGGGGCTGCCAGCATGCTGAGTTGGGGGGAAAAAGTGTGGGGGTGGGAAGGCTGGGTGTGTGAGGCAGGATCCGGGACCTGTGGTAGTGAGGCGGGGGGGGGAGCTTGGCCGCAGAGTGCGTCTGTGTGTGCGCGCGTCCGTCTGATCCAGGGAGAGGAACAAAACCGCAACTGTGTCCGCAGATGAGAAAATGCTGCCAGACCGCCCTCCCAGCTCTCCTCTGCCTGTCCCCACGTCTCATCTCTCATTTCCCCGCTGGCTTTGAGGGAAGAAGAGGAGCGCTGTGGGCAGGGGGGCGGGGCTTAGTGTGGAGCGAGCGGCTCTCAATAAGACTGGAACACCCCACCCCCCCCCCCGACCTCCACTGCCATCCTTTGTGTGTTGCTCTAATTAAGCACAGAAATGGAAACGAATGACAAATTTGACGGCTCTAATGAGGTCTTTGGGGTGGCTGGGTAACTGGAAACGTTTTTGTCTGTTGGACAGATTCCCTCATTTAAAAAAAAAAAAAAAGAAGAAGAAAAAACTACATTTAGCAGAAGTGAAGAGCTGCTTTTGGGCGGCAGCACGCATGTTACGCCTGCAGTTATGTCATCTCTGGGGCCTGTAAACTTCGAGCAGCTGCCTCTGCTCTGTCGCCTCCTTCCTTTCTGGTCTCCTGGTCCTCCTCCGGTGGGGGGGTCGCTTCGCCGTGGTCTCGGCCCCCGGTCTGTCTAGATCTTCTGCCTCTCTATGCCTCTCCATTTGGTGTAGAGCTGTGGAAGCAGGAGCCGTGGACAGCAAGACAATAACCAGGATGATTGAAATAAGCTGGATTTGGTTGATCTTCTTCTTATCGAATATCTAATAATGTGAAGTATATCTATATTGTACTTGCCTGAATGACATTTGCCAAGTCAGTGTATAAATAATAATAAAAACCAGTTCTGTGATATACATGTGATGTACACAGACTCTCCTTATGTAACAACCCCTCTATTTAATGACCCCCCCCGAATTTACCAAGTTGGGGTTTCCTTTCGACCCTGTCTTTATTCAGAATAAATAAAAACGATTATGTGTATTTACAGTATGCAAACCTAAGTAATGTATATTAGAACTGATTTCCTCTATTCTTATGCTTGAAATATCGGTAAGGGACGGCTTCTCGCTTATTGGCCAATTCGCTTAACGACCTCGTCGTAGGAACGGAACTCGGCGTTAAGTGAGGTGTGTCTGTACTTTTACAACAACCAATTACATCATTTTGTGGCAGCCAGTCACGTTAAATAAATGTTCAGAATCTTTTCATAGCAGCCAATCACATTGTCTGTATGTATGACGTAGTTTCAGGGTAGCTTATCGCATTGCATGTATTTACAGTTACTTTTTGGTACCGTTCCACTCACTCAGTTGCACTCACACACACCCGACAGTCACATTAGATTGTGTTAATGTTGACATTATCATGGAAATACCCTTACATCTGCAATATTTGTGTTGGCCGGTCAGTGTTTTTGTCCTGTTGGTTTTTCTCGTACACGTCTGGGCCACACCGGGGTCAAATCTGAGCGCAAAGGCCCAGCTCATTTTTAACAGTCCTTTTGTTCATGTGCATGGAATGCATGATATTCCATGGAGGTCTCCTATTCGGTAAAAAGTATTTCCCATGAGCCAGTGGGAATTCCTGGCTCTCTTGGTTTTCCGACTCCTGTTTTTGTTTTTCCTTACCGGGTCATTTACTTGCCCACCTGGCCTCTGTTTGCAGTGAAGTACATCAGGGAGGTTTCGCCGCTCTTCAAGAAGCCCAACCTGGCATCAGATCTACCTTGGGACGCAATTCGGGATGGGGTGCGGGGCACGCACTCCCCCAGCCTGGGCGGGAGTGAGGACTCCGGCTCCCCGACCCTCCGGGGCTTCGGTCTCAAGGATAGGAAAGTCATACCTCTGAAGATGTGCTACATCTGCCGGAACCTGACCATGCCAGACTTTGAGAACAGGTAGGAGTCTGTCTGTCTCTGTCCTGTCTGTGTCTGTCTCTCTCTCTCTCTCTGTGACACCAAGCCTTGGTATCACTGTGTGCTGGTGGGTGTGAGCCGCCTTCATACTGTTCTGCCTGTGTACATATTCTCTCAAACTGTAATTGCTTAATGGTTGCTTGACAGCTGTTGGATCATGTCCAGCAGACCCCTCCTGCTCTCTGTTCACAGACTGCTGGTTATCTCTCTCTGTCTGTCTCTACAGAGGGTAACCATTGTCCGCTAGTTCTGCATTCTGTGGCTGAATGTCGTTGCTTCAGAACTGAGCGTTCTGATGTCCCAACTTAGTTTTTTTTATTTTGAATGTGTTACAAACTCGACTGCCCTGCTGATAAAAAATGTAAGAAATTAAATGCTACTGCACTGGAAGAATATTCCATCCATCCAAACACCGGTAGCCTATCCTGTGCAGCACGGGGCACATTCTGCGTGGGGTGCTAGACCATCACAGGGGACATCCACACTCTCACACGCACATGTACCTCAGCATTTTAGAGATGCTAGTTAGCCTGACTGCATGTCTTTGGATTCTGGGGGGGGGGTACTTGTGTGACACGGGTAGAACATGGAAACTCCACACACACAGCTGATGTGGGATTCACCCCCTTAACCTTGAAGGTGTGAGGCGGCGCTGCCACCCATTGAGAATTAAAAAAAAATCTAACAAATTAGCACGTTGCTAAGCACAATGCTAACATGGAAGCCTTCGACGCAAGAACGTCACTGTACAGTTTTGCCAAACGCGGTCAGTGTCCAGAAGAGACCTTTTCCTGTCAGATGAATGTGCGCTTCCTGCCTGTGGGGATGGAGTGCTTGCATCTGTGATCCTGGCCATTGTTGGCCGTCGTGACGAGCGGGAGAGGCGTACCATCTGTGCGGCTACATTTAGCCGCAGCCACTTCATCGATGTCGGAAACAGTCTCCCTGTGACCGACCTGAACATCCTCCTGGTGTGCCCTTGTGCCGATAACGTTTTTTTTTTTCCCCGTTGCCGTGCTTCCTGTAAATTACATTCTCTAGCTGTTCATTTAATGCGGCAACATGAAATCGGCGAGCCAGTTGAAATTTGTCGTTGAATCGTCTTAATTTCCCGTGCTTGACATTTACGGCGCGGGGCCCCGTCGATAACGGTTATCGGGCTTCCAGCCGGCGTGGCTCGCATCCGAATGCATCATCGCCATGGTGAGTGCAGTTAGCGAAACGGCCTCACTTAAGGATTTGCAAAGCGAGCCTCTAATCTGGTTAAAGGGACGGGGGCTGTGGATGCACAAAAGCCGGATGCGGGGCCAGGTGGATGATTTTTTTTTTTTTTTTTTGGACGGAATGTTCCGGAAAGTCAGCTGGTGTTTCTCTTTCAGGCTGCTGGAGCTGCACTCCCCCGACAACCTGCACACAGTAATCCTGCGCTGTAAAGACAGTGCCAGTGCCAATTCCTGGTTCACGGCCATCCACGCCAACATCACCGCCCTGCTGCCCCAGGCGCTGGCCCACATCAACTCCATCCTGCGCATGGGTGCCGGCGGTTCCCACCGCCACCTCAATCACATTGGCTGGCTGGCCGAGCAGGTGGGCGTGAGTGAGTGAGTGAGCGTGCGAGCGTGCGAGCGAGACACCCACCCACACACAGACAGGCCATGTGTGACCCCCCCCACCTTCTCTTCCTTAGATGCAGATGGACGGCATGCGGCACCACTACCGGCCGGTCGTCATGGCGCTGACAGATAAAGACATCCTGCTCTTTTACTCAGTGCCCTGGACCCATGAGGCGTGGGCCTCCCCCATGGTGATACACCCACTGCTGGCCACCAGGTGGCGCCAGACGTCGACTTTCACAAACACACACTGACATGCTTCTGCGGCGTTCAGGAAGGGGGTGGGGTGTGAGAGCAGAGCAATTGGCCGGAAAGGCAGACATGGAGCTATTTTAATAGTAATATTAACCTTGTCGGCCATGTTACCATGTTACCATGTTATGTTTATCGTGATGGTTCCTGTACTTATTTCTGTAGCGTAAATCGACCTTTTGGAACGGGACCACACAGACACACACATGCACACGGCAGAGTCTCGGCTAACCTGCATTCTGTGTCTTCCCCCCCCACCCCTCACCCACCACCCCCAGACTTGTGCATTCCGGCAGTGCCCGTGGCTCCCCAGCGCTGGGCGGGGACCTTGTGTTCGGCACACGAACGGGCACGCCACATGGGGTCGAGTCCCATATTTTCCGAGTAGAGACCCACTGGGACCTGTCGACATGGACACGGGTCCTGGTGCAGGGGGGAAATGCAGTCGCCGCACTCGTCAGAGAGGTGTCCATCGGTGAGGAGCCGGGGTTACCGAAAGGAAACGGAAAGGCTGCACGGACCGACAGATGCACAGCGTCTGCTTTCTTGTTTTTCGTTTTTATCCCACTGTTAATATCCGAACAATCGCTGGCTCGGTGGAAAGAGCCGGAAAACTGCACTCTTTTCCCTTTCCTGTCCTCGAGTTGTACACTGTTATGCACACGCAGGCGGGCCTCTCAGTTCCCTGCCAAGTCTGTCTAATGGTGTCCCTCCCCCCCCCCCCCCTCCCCAAAGGCTGCCTTTTCGGCCAACAGGAAGTGCGGCTCACCGTGCACTATGACAAGGGCTTCACCGTCACCCGCGAGAAGGACGACTCTGCAGGGGACACCGTGCTCTTCCGCTACCCCTTTGAGAAGCTTCGCATGTCGGCCGATGACGGGATCCGACACCTTTACCTGGACTTCGGTGGGCCCGAGGGCGAGCTGGTAGGCCCCGTTTCACCTTTCCATTTAGCTTGATCGGTGGTTCTCAAAATTTTGGACCAAGTACCAAAGCAACCAAGTAATAAAATCGAATCGCATACCACAGATTAGGAAGCACAGTGCTAGACTGTAACTATCAACTGCCGGCGAAACGACAGAGGGCTCTCTGCTAACGCCTCTCTCTCCATCATTGTCTGCCAGGGATTCGACCTGAACACCAGTCCCAAGCCCATGGTCTTTGTGCTCCATTCCTTCCTGTCGGCTAAACTGACCCGCCTGGGGCTGCAGACATGAAGCCAAGGAGCCGGCGGGGGGGGGGGCCTTCCTTCCCATTTCTCCTGTGCCATCCATGGCAACCGTACGGGCCCCGTCCCCGCCGCCCGTCTGTCCGTCTGTCCGTCCCCGGCCGTGTCTGCATGCGTGTGCGCGCTCTGTCAGACTGGGTGGCCCCTGCCACGCAGATCCGCGCTGCCGGCCGCCATCAGGATTTTGCCAAATGTGCCTTAAGTGAAATGAGGACAAAAGGAGGAGGGAGAAAAAGCTTTTTAAACTCTGCCATTTTCTTTTTTTGCCGTTTTAAGAGGCCATAGTGTTAAAACGTACGCTTCAAACGATATGCACAGAAATAGCAACTTATATATTTTTATATGCTTTCTCTGTTTTATTTGTTTTACTCTGCATGACTTGATTGTACTTTTTATGAGACGCTCTAGTTGTCGGAAGCGGGAGCCTGACTTTCCCGGGGTCCTTGACCACGAAAGTTCAGCAGGACCCAATGGCTCATCCGCCCTCCCCCTGTGTGATAACACACGTTTCACCCCATAATTAACATATTTATGATTTATTATAACATGGATTTATGATTATTCTCGTACCTTGTTACATTTTCACTATTATTTGCCAAACCACACCTCCACTTTCATCTCTGTTGTGTTTTTTTTCCCTCTGAATTTATACAAATATGAATGTATGCTGGTTAAGGTTTTGTGCTTTTCTTTGTGCATTGCTCTGCCCCCCAGTGGCCAGCAGGAGTACTGCTCATTGACAAGCTACTCCTCAGTCTTCTGCTGTCTCTGAGCCAGATTCATCACACATGCAGTACCAGTCAAAAGTCTAGACATACCTACTCAAAATCATTTGTTTTTCAACAAGATAATGACCTTAAGTTCACCTTGAGGTTATGTAAGCACTGTATTATCTTGTGAGCATAGAAAAAGATGGAGTGTTGTGACAGATGACCTGGCCTCCACAATCCCTCCCCCCAACCTGAACCCCACAGAGCTGATTTGGGGTGAATTGGATTGATGAGGTAGCCAATTTGTGCTGGAAACTCCTTCAGGGCTGTTGGAGAGGGATTCCAGGGGTCTACATCCGTAAGCTGGATCAAAGAATGCTGAGATTCTGCAGTGATGTCATCAGAGCAAGGGGGGGGATTTTAAGCCGTCTAAAATTTGAGGAAATTTTGTGATGTTGAACACTTCTCTTGGTTGTTGCAGTATTTATATTTTGTATTACTTAATTGCCTCAAGGCCTTTTACTATACGGTGAATAAGAGCTAAAATGGAGACAAATGTATTAAAAGCAGATGTTTCCAGACTTTTGACTGGTAGTGTACCAGGGCTAGCCATGGGTGTTCTGGCACCATAGGCAAGATTCTGGCCCCAACGCCCTCCTCACTCCAAGCCTCCCAGAGCAACAGAAAACAAATTTGGTCAAGTCATTTCAATTACAACATTTCAATAGTACAAGATATCTGGCTGCTGACTAGCTAACAAAAATGTTTCACAAGACAAGTAGTGAAAGATTAAATCGAGTGTAAATAACTAATGTCATGGAATGCAACCAGAGGCATTTCTTCTGATTTTCCTTCACTTGCCCTTNCCCCCCCCCCCCCCCCCCCCCCCCCCCCCCCCCATCAGTTGGCCCCCTTAGGTGACCCTCTGTGTTGCCTGTAGCGTGGGCCTGTCCTGCTGTTAAACCACTTTTACCACGTGACAAAAGGGTTAGAACCACATTATCTGATTTATTCTGAGAAGCACAGATTCATTTTTTACTGCTTTCTGCAGAGTAACTTTCTACATCCCCTTTGCTTTCACGTTAAATATTTGAAGTACTACAATCAGGGCTACATTAACGCAGCCACAGTCCCGTGGATAGGCGTGGGATGCATCAAAATTCTTAAGTCTTCCGCATGTTGCTTATGTGTTGAGAAATCATTTAAAACAGAATGTATTACACGAGACCTTAAAGAAGAATTCATCTTGGATGTTATGTGCCTTCCTGTTGGAGTTTCCTGCCATACTAAGGAATCTGGAAGATCAATAACGGACTCGTCATAACAGGACGAGATGTCCATAGTGTTCTCACAATATGACTGATGTTTGTTTTTCTGTTCTATGGTGTTAATTTTATGAGTATTATCCCTTATGTGTTACTTGGTATTAATATTCCTTGTGGACTGAGATTGCTTTGCTGTTCTGTCATGGCGATAAAGCAGGCCCCTCCCAGCCGCGTATCTGCGCTCCTGCTGCAGTCCGTCAGTCGTCCGGCTTTTTTTTTTTTTTTTTTTGTGGATTTTTGTTTTCAATTTTATTTCAATTCACAAACAAAATGTTTGTACTGCATCTTTAAGATTGTAATCGTAAATATATATGGTTACTAAAGTACAGAACGGCTCATTCAGGCAAGTGTTTTTTTTTTTTTGTGGGGGGAGGGGGTCACTATGCGTTTTCTGCAGTGTTTTCTTTTATATTTTGAGGCACCCAAAATCCAGGTCAGTGTTTTCCAGATATATGCAGCCTGAGGAAAGTTTATAAAATATGTAAGTTCTCTCAGGCAAAAGGATTCTCTGTGCTGGTATCTGTTTCTGACGGATCTGTTTAAAAAGCCACACAGTTCTTTTTATTATTATTATTATTATTTGATTATTTTTAAAGTTGTACCAGACTAGTTCACTAAACTGAAATCACCTAGTCTGTTAAGCTTCTGCTATGCTGCTGTCAGGTTATTATGCCCCGTTTAAATAGTTATGCTTGTGTGTGGAAGGGAGGCTCGTCCAACCAAAGATTTCAACAGCAGTGAGCATCCATTGCAATCACATGTATCACAATCAGAAGGGTACGCTGCTGTGATTTTTTTTTAAATTATGTACTACATTTTAAGCCTGCACTCTTAAGACATACAAATATATAGCACTATTTCAATGTTAAAATATTAAAACTGTAAATATCTTCTATAAATAAAAAAACACTTTTCCCAGTGTTTTGTGATTCATTTTCATTATTATGGACAGCAAAACTATTGAAAAAGTGGATTTGATGATGAGTGTATGGATGGATATTACATCTAATTTTAACATATAAGGGTAAGATAAACGCACCATGATCAACTGGTATATAATTTCATGAAGCTTCTAAAATTGTTATTATCCCGAGAACCAGGATCGCATCATTGTTGTTGCCAAACAGAGACCGACGACTCAAAGCACCAGATGTTTAAGGGTCAAAATTGGTACTGGCAGGTAAAAATTGAAAATTTGCCCGGGACAAAATTAATCAATGTCAAAATGTTTTATTTAGAAAGCAAATAATTTAAAAAATGCAAATAATTATCTTTAATGATTTTTGAGCTATGACTATGACCTGTTTCATATCAAGCTTTGTTTTGGTACCTAGTTTAGTGGTGGGGGGGGGGGGGGGGGGGTTGTATGGTACTATGATTAAATTGGGAATGAAATTGACCAATATTTTAGCTTGAAACATTTATATCTTGACTGATTTCTATTTTCTTCAGATTTACAATAGAGGCAGCAGGTGGCTCAGTGGGCTAAGCCTACCTGTCATCAGAAGGTTGTTGGTTTAAGCCCAGCCTTGGCACATCTGTGTGTACTGGAGTAAGGCCCTTAACCCCCCAGGGTGCCACAACAGGTGGCTGCCCTTCACAACCAACTTGCTCTCACCTACAGAGAACAAATTGGGGCAGGCATAAAGACAATTTCCCCACAGCAATCAATTAATTATTATTATAACTATTACATTTTTGGGGGCCGTGTGTGGCTCAGTGGGCTGTGCCTGTAAGCTGAAGGTTGCTGGTTCAAACCCAGCCTCAGCACATCTGTGGGTCCTTGAGCAAGGCCCTTAACCCTCAGCTCCCTGGGCGCCGCTACAGGTGGCTGCCCTTCGCAGACAACTTACTCTACAAAAAAGAGCAAGTTGAGGGAGGCGTAAAGACAATTTACCCACGGGGATCAATAAAGTATTGATTTTTTCCCCCCCATTTAAACCATAGTTTAACAGAAAGTGTAAGAAATTATTTAAATGGAGATTTCTGGACATGAATCTATAGTGTTTTGGGGCAGTTCTAAAACTGCTATTAACAATGTTTATTAAGACTATGCATTAAGTTCATAAAAAAAAAAACTGCACACAAAATCATTTTCGTTATATCTATTTTCGGCCCTGTGTTTTCGCATGGAGTCATTATTGCATATTCAGCAGAATAATGACGATACGATTCATCGTGTGCGTCCCTAAAAAGGCGGAAACTGCAGAGAAGCAGAGCGGCGGCTTAACTACAAGCATGAGAGTTTGGCGGACTGCGCCCCCGAGCGGCCGCCAGAGGGCAGCCTCGCCACGGCGCAGCGCGCGCCCCACTCGGCCTCGCGGGGTCCCTCTTTTCTTCGGGCTCCTCGATTAACGGCGTCTTCTGCCATTGTGGTGGGAGCTGTTTACTCTGGTCCGGACTGCAGCTCGTTCTTCACCCATATTTATGTTCATATATAAATATCCGTAAATATAGCGGGCTCTTCCTCGCATCGTCGGGATAAGTAGCGGTCCGGTGGTGGTGCGACCTGAGCGTGAGATGAAATGACAACGTCAACATTACAGGTAGGCTGGGCGTAAGCTAGCGGGCTAATGTCAACAGTCCCCGCTTTCCTGCTTTTCTCCTCTAGGTAATAAATTACCAGCTAACTGCAGTTAAAGTGCTAATAGGTCGCCGCCATCTCGTCTTCAGACGACGTTAAACGGGTGCGCCAGGGGAGTTTATGGCCTGTGTTTCGCCTTTAGCTAGCGTGCTAACCATATAGCTCAGGCATTCGCTCTTGCCTGCGTATGACCAGCTCTGTCGTCTCTCCGTTAATCAGAAGTTAATTATGCAGATCGTGGCCGATTGCACTGATAACAAACCCCCACAGAATCTCCCTGCCGCTTATCCTGTACTGTCGCTGGATTGGCCTGCAGTTTAACCCAAGCAGAGGGCTGGGGTACCTGGGCGGGATGCCTGTCCATCACGGGGCACATACTGTACACACCCACACACCCAGAGCATACAGATCCTCCACACACAGACATCCACGGAACGGATCGCTGAGCCACCTTGTCGCCCCTGATATAATAAAGCGCGGGGAGGCCAAGTCTGCACAGTTAGTTGCTCTCCTGTAAACACGTGAATGCAATGACAGAGCTTGCTTTTGCTGCATATTATGCGTATAGAGCAAAATATGCATGTGAGAAAGCTGTAACTACTTAAGAGTCGTTTACACGCCTGTAATATTGTATTGCGTTATCTTGTAGCGCTGGAGAATTAGGCGTAACACGTAACGTTAATTATTAAGTTTTCTCGGCTCCATTGCTGGGGGTGTGTCAGTGCCTGACAGCTGTACGGAGGTGTCGGCATCCCCGATAAATACGTGCACCTTTCACATACTTAGTTATTTCGCCATTGCAGAAAGCGATCGATCTTGTGACGAAAGCCACAGAGGAAGACAAGGCTAAAAATTATGAGGAGGCCTTGCGGCTGTACCAACATGCAGTGGAGTACTTTCTGCACGCCATCAAATGTGAGTGTGCTCTTTGTCGTCCTGACAGTGGTTTTGGCATGGAGTTGAAAGGTTGCTCTAAAAGGCCTCTTTCCCCCTCCCCACCTTCTTTAGATGAGGCACACAGCGACAAGGCAAAGGAGAGCATTCGGGCAAAGTGCGTGCAGTACCTGGACAGGGCAGAGAAGCTCAAAGATTACCTGAAAAACAAAGAGAAGCAAGGAAAGAAACCGGTCAAGGAAGCACAGAGCAACGACAAAGGGTACAGAGCAGCGGCCGTTCTAGGGTATTTTAAGGTGGGAGGAAAAGTGGGGTCATAATTCTTACAGAATGACTAACCTCATCATAAGCCAATGATATGTTTTGAATCAGTGAGTGACAGGGTAGGGGGGACACTAGGGGCCAATCAGCTTTTAGCTGGGGCCGGTGCCCTGATGTCCCCGCCCCTGTATTAACCATAGGTATCGAGCTTATGTGCAACAAACTAGGCAAGTATCAGGCTCCAGGGCAGTTAGGATGTGAGGGGGGTTGAAGAGACCTGACCCTGACAACAGGAGGAGCGGGAGGCTTTGAGACCCACGTTGGGTGCGACTGGCACACGCCACCGGATTCGGCCAATGGGCGAGCTGCTGATGTGGCCGAAGGGAGGAGAAACTGATCTGTCACCGGCAGCATGCAGCAAGGCCACTGAACAGGGGGGTCAAAGGCACAACAGCCAGTGCATGACAATAGGCTCTGCTTTGGAGTGCTGTACATTTCAGGCAAAACACTATAATTAAATATTCAGAAACAAATCAAAATTATGACCAAAATCAGATCTCGGAGCTTCCGTTTCATCTTGTGATCTTAGCTCAGCTGTGCTCAGTTTGGAAGAAAACGCTATAATTTACCTGACATACTGCTGCACAATCAAAAAGCCCAGTTTCATTGTTTCATTGCAGTGTCCTGCCATGAGATCCTTACAGGATTTTTTTATTATTATTTTTTACTAGAAGTGACAGTGATAGTGAAGGTGAAAACCCAGAGAGGAAGAAGCTTCAGGAGCAGCTGATGGGTACCCCCTCCCCTCCGCCTCTCTCCCTGCTGTGGTACATTAAGGGGCTCAGTGGAAGGGGCTGGGGCTGAATTTGTAGCCTTGATGTCCTCCCCCAGGCGCGATCGTGATGGAGAAGCCCAACGTCAGGTGGAGCGACGTGGCTGGACTGGAGGGCGCCAAGGAGGCGCTGAAGGAGGCCGTGATCCTGCCCATCAAGTTCCCTCACCTCTTCACAGGTGGGACTCGCCGATGGCGGCCCCCGCAAGTCACCCCAGGTCAGGGGGTCGCTGTGACGTGTCCGCGTTCGCGGCTCTACCCCCAGGGAAACGCACGCCGTGGCGGGGAATCCTGCTCTTCGGACCCCCAGGAACCGGCAAGTCCTACCTGGCCAAGGCGGTCGCCACCGAAGCCAACAATTCCACCTTCTTCTCGGTGTCGTCCTCAGACCTGATGTCCAAGTGGCTGGGAGAGAGTGAGAAGTGAGCTGTCCGGCCCCTCAAGCTCCGCCTACGTCCCCCTTTGGTGTCCTCCTCACATTCTCTCTCTCACCTCCCCCCCCCCCCCCCCCCCCCCCCCCCCCCCCCATCAGTTGGCCCCCTTAGGTGACCCTCTGTGTTGCCTGTAGCGTGGGCCTGTCCTGCTGTTAAACCACTTTTACCACGTGACAAAAGGGTTAGAACCACATTATCTGATTTATTCTGAGAAGCACAGATTCATTTTTTACTGCTTTCTGCAGAGTAACTTTCTACATCCCCTTTGCTTTCACGTTAAATATTTGAAGTACTACAATCAGGGCTACATTAACGCAGCCACAGTCCCGTGGATAGGCGTGGGATGCATCAAAATTCTTAAGTCTTCCGCATGTTGCTTATGTGTTGAGAAATCATTTAAAACAGAATGTATTACACGAGACCTTAAAGAAGAATTCATCTTGGATGTTATGTGCCTTCCTGTTGGAGTTTCCTGCCATACTAAGGAATCTGGAAGATCAATAACGGACTCGTCATAACAGGACGAGATGTCCATAGTGTTCTCACAATATGACTGATGTTTGTTTTTCTGTTCTATGGTGTTAATTTTATGAGTATTATCCCTTATGTGTTACTTGGTATTAATATTCCTTGTGGACTGAGATTGCTTTGCTGTTCTGTCATGGCGATAAAGCAGGCCCCTCCCAGCCGCGTATCTGCGCTCCTGCTGCAGTCCGTCAGTCGTCCGGCTTTTTTTTTTTTTTTTTTTGTGGATTTTTGTTTTCAATTTTATTTCAATTCACAAACAAAATGTTTGTACTGCATCTTTAAGATTGTAATCGTAAATATATATGGTTACTAAAGTACAGAACGGCTCATTCAGGCAAGTGTTTTTTTTTTTTTGTGGGGGGAGGGGGTCACTATGCGTTTTCTGCAGTGTTTTCTTTTATATTTTGAGGCACCCAAAATCCAGGTCAGTGTTTTCCAGATATATGCAGCCTGAGGAAAGTTTATAAAATATGTAAGTTCTCTCAGGCAAAAGGATTCTCTGTGCTGGTATCTGTTTCTGACGGATCTGTTTAAAAAGCCACACAGTTCTTTTTATTATTATTATTATTATTTGATTATTTTTAAAGTTGTACCAGACTAGTTCACTAAACTGAAATCACCTAGTCTGTTAAGCTTCTGCTATGCTGCTGTCAGGTTATTATGCCCCGTTTAAATAGTTATGCTTGTGTGTGGAAGGGAGGCTCGTCCAACCAAAGATTTCAACAGCAGTGAGCATCCATTGCAATCACATGTATCACAATCAGAAGGGTACGCTGCTGTGATTTTTTTTTAAATTATGTACTACATTTTAAGCCTGCACTCTTAAGACATACAAATATATAGCACTATTTCAATGTTAAAATATTAAAACTGTAAATATCTTCTATAAATAAAAAAACACTTTTCCCAGTGTTTTGTGATTCATTTTCATTATTATGGACAGCAAAACTATTGAAAAAGTGGATTTGATGATGAGTGTATGGATGGATATTACATCTAATTTTAACATATAAGGGTAAGATAAACGCACCATGATCAACTGGTATATAATTTCATGAAGCTTCTAAAATTGTTATTATCCCGAGAACCAGGATCGCATCATTGTTGTTGCCAAACAGAGACCGACGACTCAAAGCACCAGATGTTTAAGGGTCAAAATTGGTACTGGCAGGTAAAAATTGAAAATTTGCCCGGGACAAAATTAATCAATGTCAAAATGTTTTATTTAGAAAGCAAATAATTTAAAAAATGCAAATAATTATCTTTAATGATTTTTGAGCTATGACTATGACCTGTTTCATATCAAGCTTTGTTTTGGTACCTAGTTTAGTGGTGGGGGGGGGGGGGGGGGGGTTGTATGGTACTATGATTAAATTGGGAATGAAATTGACCAATATTTTAGCTTGAAACATTTATATCTTGACTGATT